GCATTTCCGGATTTTTTGAGAATTCCACACGAAGGCAACATTCCGGCAGATGACGCAGCTGGGAAGACAGACGCTTCATGCAGATGGTGGCCACAAATTACGTAAGTACAAAATTATTTTTTACGTTAAACTTGTATTTCAGGTAAAGTTAGCACGCGCGGACTGTGCGACCAGGAGTCGAACCCCTGCCGTTTTATCGGAGATATCTAGATTATAGAAGGCCAAACCATATCACTGGCCGACTTCCTCTACTTCGCAATTGAGGTATCGTGTGTGCTTTTCGCGTGGGAAACGAAAGACCGTCCGCACAAAGTTCGTGAATTGCGAAATCGGACTCTGCATTTCCGGATTTTTTTTAGAATTCCACACGAAAGCAACATTCTGGCAGATGACGCAGGTGGGAAGACAGATACTCCATGCAGATGGTGGCCAAAAATTATATAAGTAGGACATTATTTTCTACCTTAAAAATGTATTTCAAATAACGTCCGCACGCGCGGACTGTGCGACCCCATATGGGGACATTCGTACCGCTGACTAAACTTGTGCGACCCCATATGGGGACTTTAGTCGTTTAAAGGTTAATGTTATGTTAGTCTGTACTTAACTACGTATTTCACTAAAAAATGCAAAACTTTAACTCGGTTTTTGGTAGATTTTTATGTGACTAACATAAGGCTACTGTGGAAGTGCCCATTTCGGTTACGACATTCGTTTATAACGACACTGTTTTTAGGTCCCTTTGATGACGTTATAACCAAGTTCTACTGTATATGTATATACTAAAAACTTGTTAAGATTATTTATCTTATCTGTCCCAATGCTAACACTGTGCATAGTTTCACCACTATAGGAGTTGTTCCTCTTATTCTCAGGGTATATCGTGTGTCGTGTTGTGTGTTCCCTGTTTGGTTGCGGGTGTTGTAATGTTGGATGTGTGTGCATCTTTCTTTGGGATACGCTCCTTATCCATTCCCTGTACATGCCCAGACCACTGCAGTCTTTTAAGCTTTATCGTCACTGAGATCTCTGGCTCCTTATATAATTTGTATAACTCTTTATTATATCTTATTCTCCATATCCCATTCTCTTTTATTGGTCCATAAATTTGTCTTAGGATTTTCCTCTCGAATGAATTGATGAGTGGTTCCTCTTTCTTGTTTAGCGTCCAACCCTCACATCCATAATAAAGCACTGGTCTTATTATTGTTTTATATATTTTTGTTTTAATCGCTCAGTGTATATCCTTTGATCTAAAAACTGATAGTAATGAGAAATATGCATTATTCGCTAGTTTTATTCTTCTTGTTATTTCATGATTTTCCTCTCCATCTTTGTGGAATTTCGATCCTAGATATATGAAGTCGTCAACTATTTCTATCCCGTCCCCTTGCATGTTAATTTCTTCAGTTTGCCTTGGATTCATTCTGGATTGTATCAGCATTTTAGTTTTATTTGCATTCACCTCTAAGCCAGTTGTTTTTGCTTGGTTTTTATTTCTTTGTGTGTCTCCATTGCTCTTAGGGATCTTGATACTATAATAATATCATCCGCATACGTCATTATTTGTGTTTGTTTATACGCTATTGTGTTCCTTGTGTCAACATTACATTTCCTCACTATATATTCCAATACCAAATTAAATAGTGATGGTGCCAAACTATCTCCATGTTTTAATCCTTGATTTGTCTTAAAGCATTCCATTAACTGGTTCTGGATTTTAACTTGGTTGTTTCTGTCATGGTTAAGTTACTTATTCTACTTAGTTTTGTTGGAGTACCAAAAGTGGACATCATCATCCTTAATTTCTTCCTTATTATTGTATCATATGCTTGTTTAAAATCTATGAAGCATAGGTAAATATCTGTATTAAATTCCCAGCATTTCTCCGTTATTTGTCTTAGGGTGAATAAATTGTCTATTGCTGACCTATTGGGTTGAAATCCTGATTGATATTCTCCTATTATTATTTCTATATATGGATCCAGTCTCTTTTTTTAGCATCCTTGTTAAAATTTTATATGCTCTCAGTAGTATTGATATACCTCTATAGTTACTACATGTTAATTTATCCCCTTTTTTAAATATGGGACACACAATGCTCTTTCCCCAATCTTCTGGTATCTTTTCTTCTTCCCACACTTTATGATTCTGTGGAGTGCTATTATTCTTTCTTGTCCTCCTGCCTTCAATAATTCTGCTGGTTTGTTATGTCCTCCTGGTGCTTTATTTAGTTTTTGTTCCTTTAATGCTTCTTCCACTTCTTCCTTTGTTGGGGGAAGCAAGGAGTAATAAGCTCTTCAATATTATCAAAATATGAAGGCCTGATTACTTTAGTCAAACATGAGTGCAGCCACATCTTGTCTCACACCGATTAATTTAAGATGCCATGTTCCCGAGACTTGGGGAGCATTGCTTTTTCCCCGAGAAAGGTTTAAATTGACAGCATCACCTCCCAGACAAGAATTTGTCTGCAATTGGCCAATTTTATTAAGCCAAAGTCATTATGCAATCAGTATAAGCTAATCATGTAACAACTCCTTAGAACACTGCAGTTCGCAGAGATAGAACTGAGGCCCCTACTTGTGAAAGCAGTTACATTCTTTAGTTTAGTGTTCAGCTACACCCTTCCAAAGACAAAATATGACAGCTATGCATGTCAAAAGACATAATTCACATCTTCAGAAAACTACAGACTTACCTACTGTGGTGACATTGTTTCCTTATGGTCACTCAAACTGAATGTAAGAAAAGGCATTTTTCTTCTGTTGAGATATGAGGAACAAGTTATAACTCGCCAATAAATCAGCCATCCCTTCCAGAATGATTAAAGAGGACAGTGGCATCCTTGGAGAACTGTAACAGGTTTGGACTGTTTGTCTCCCAAAGTGTAATACTGGCAATTTTGATGCAATAGATGTTGTCATGCATTACAGTTTACTTGCCTATGAAGTCCAAACAACAAAGTAAATGACACTGAAAATATAAGCCAATTAATAAACATGTACAGTAAATATCAGTTACACATAATTATTCAACTCATCAGTCACTGGTTAAAATCATTCATTTCATTTATAATCAACAAACCATCTTAATATATGCATTTATCGTGATAATCCCTTGCACTGGAAGATCCACATCATCTTACATTAACCCTTTGACGTGGTCATTTAAATTCCGCGGCCGCGGCAATATATTCAGCCGGCCATTTAAATTTTGCTCGAAAATTATTTATTCATCATTGTTCTTAAATTCTATGAGATAGGAACATGAAACTTTCACTAAAATGATCTTAAATGGTGGTTTTATAACCTTACCTTATAATATGGGCGCCCTGTATCTCGGCCATGGAAGCAGGTTGTTTAGTATTTCAGCAGTGAATGGTACGCCTTGAAGGATGAAACTTTCACTAAAATGATCTTAAATGGTGGTTTTATAACCTTACCTTATAATATG